GATGAGCACGTCCCCTTGGACGGCCGTGCCCAGGGGGATGACGGCTTTGCCGTCCTCGATCCTGAAATCCCTGTGGGAGGAAGGCGGGTCCCGTGAGACACAGCCAGGCCAGGGGGCGGCCCAGCGAGGCCTGGGGCACAGCACGCCGGCCCCAGCAGTCTCAGCTCCCTGGTTTTGCTACCAACTACCCCTGGGGGGGTGCTCCAGGCAATACTTCCATGGAGCTTCTCAGCACGCCGTCATGGGGAGCTTCCCGCTCAGCAGAGGCCTGTCCGCTGCGCCTCGGGGACCTGAGGCGGGGCTCCAGCGCCAGGGCCCCCCCATCCTCCCGGCGCGCCCTCGTTGCCCTGGCCTGGCTCACCGCATCCTGTCGTACTCCTGGGACGTGGTGGCCACGCGCTCGTCCCCCACATAGACCTCGCAGAAGGGCCGACAGCCGCTCCTCTGCTTGTTGAACAGCGGCACGGGCGTCATGACGATGGCCCGCACCAGGATCGGCTTGCTATGGGGCGTGATGGGCTCCTCCGCCACCATGTCACACATGTACTCGATGTACCTGAAGGAGACACAGCACATCACACATGTGCTGTGCACAGCTACACACCATGTCACACATGCTCTGCAGGCCACACATCACACACATGTTCTGTGCATGGCCACATACCACCTCACACACATGCCCTGCATAGCTATATGCATCACATGCATGCTGTGCACAGCCGCACACGTCACACACATGCACACACCACATCACAGGTTCTAGTTCCATCTCCCAAGCGTGATGCTTTAATTTTCACTCAGTTCAGAATGCTGTCACGTTTCGTGGGTTATTTAGAAGTAGACTGGTTGACTCTGGAACACGGAGGGGTTTTCCCAGCCCTGTTACAACTTCTACTCGAATTCTCTTCAGCCCGTGACGTTTTGTAGTGTCTAGTCCAGTGACGGCGAACCTTTTGAGCTCGGCGTGCCAGCATTTGAAAAACCCTAACTTAACTCTGGTGCCGTGTCACATATAGACATTTTTTGATCTTTGCAACCATAGTAAGACAAAGACTTATATTTTTGATACTTATTTTATATATTAAATGCCATTTAACAAAGAAAAATCAACCAAAAAAATGAGTTCGCGTGTCACCTCTGACACGCGTGTCACAGGTTCGCCATCACTGGTCTAGTCTAACTTGGCTGTGGTTAAAGGGCCCGCGTGTGGCTGCTCTCGCTGAACATCCGTGTGCCTGGGAAGGATGCGTCCCGCCGTGGAACGTCCTGTGGACATCAGGTAGGCCCGCTGGGTGGGGCCGAGTTCAGTGCGTCTGTCCTGAGAGGGCGGGTGCTGGCCCCACCGCCTGGGATCCTGGGATGGTGTCTCTCCTGGCTCCGCCGTGTCTGCTCCGCACGTCTCCACAGCACCCCCTGCGGCTGGGCTCCTGCCCGGGGACCCCTCCTTCACTTGCTTCTAATCAGCAGAAGGGATGGGTAGTGCCTTCTGTGCAGCCACGCTCTCACCAGCGGACCTGTCTTGGGCTCTCGCCAACCCCCAGCAGGAGGCCGATGCCGGGACCTCAGCCACAGGCAAACCCCAGAGCTGGGAAGCGGGTTGGGGCTCGGAGCGGAGTTCCTGGGAGCACCGCCCGCTCCCGACGGCAGGGCGGCCAGCCCCAGAACTGGGCGGGAGTCCAGGTGGCTGCGCCACGGCTGACCCTCAGGCTCCCTCACTGACCACAGCCTGGCCAGGCTCTGTCCCAAGTGCAGACGGCCCCGCGCTGGCCGCTGCCCCCACCCTTCCACGGCCGCCATGGCGGGCGGCACCCTCCGGCCGGGGCTGGTTTGTCAGCTGCTCCGCCGGGTTCTCCTCCCTGGTCTTCTCTTGGCTGCTTCCCCCGCTGGCTGCCAGGACGGCAGAGTCTCCCGCTGCCCCGGGTTCTCACGGGACCTTCTGCAATGGCTGCCAGCAGTCTCCGCTCACCTGAGCGTGGCTTCCTCGGGGAGCACGGGCCAGCAGCTGGCCTTCTGTGTCCATCTGTGCTGCTCAATCCTGCTGGGTCCTGAGCACCTGAGGTTTGGTGCATCGTGACCTTGAGGAAGTTCCTGGCGCCTGGCTGGTCAGAGCTCCGTGACCCCACCCAGGAGGGTGTGGTGGGCGGCATCCAGCGCCTTCTGGGGTCCTCTCCTGCTGGCCCTTGGAGACCGACACGTGGGAGGCGGCCTTCACGGCGCCTGCGCGGCCAGGCCCAGCATCTCCAGGCCTCTCCCTCGCAGCCTCCCTGCCTCCCTGCCCTGCAGGTGCCGCCTTCCCTTCAGTGTCTGCAACACCGTCCTCAGCCGCAGTGAATCTCCCGTCAGGCACCTCTGGGCTCCTGCCTGTGCCCCTGGGAGCCACACCCCGACCCATCTGTGAGCGCCCTCAGGGACCTGAGGACGGACTCCCCAATCTCTGCGGTCTCGCCTGCTTCTGCACACGCGCTGACCACTGGCTGGCCCTTCTCTGGCCCCCGGCTCACGTCCTTGGCTTTGACTGCGGACGGGCCCATTTCTCTGAGGACCAAGCGCTGTTCCTGAGTCTGAAGCTGGTCCCACTGCTTTTTAAGTAGCTCTGCACCCGCGCACGTCCCGAGGAAGCAGCTGGGGTCGGGGGTCCCAGCGTCAGGCCACTCCCCACTAACAGCCCTCCTCCCACTCTGCCCCGACGGTGAGCAGCTGCTCGCGGGATCCCACGGCGGCTCCGGACCCTCGGCACAGCTGGAATTCAGGAGCAAAAATGGCTCTCAGGCCCACATGGCTCAGTGGCTGAGCGTCAACCCATGAACCAGGACGTCACAGCTCTGTTCCCAGTCGGGACACATGCCCGGTTGTGGGCTGCACCCCTAGTGGGGGCCTGCAGGAGGCAGCCGATGGGTGTTCTCTCACTGACGTTCCTCTCTCTCTCTCTCTCTCTCTCTCTCTCTCTCTCTCCAAAAAAATCAATAAAAACATTTTTTAAAAAGACTCAGGTCACATGTTGGAAGGGTCAGCAGTCCTTCTGCTTGGTGGCCTCGCCCACTTTCCCACGACAGAGGACACAGCTGGTGGCCGGCTCCCTGCATCCAGGTGGCCCCACAGCAGGACGCCTTTCCCCGCCCGCCCACTGTCCACAGGCTGCGCCACCACCCAGGGCAGAAGGAAGGGCCTGAACACTTTCCTTTCTTCCAGCATCACCCGCCCACACAGACCCACGTGCACAGAGCTGGCGGCCAGAGTGCTGCCCGTCGCCTCAGACACAGGCTTCAGGGGCACACGTGCTACAAGGGCTGGTGCCCGGGAACCGGACAGAGGCACTGCCCGCCACTCAGGGCCGAGGAGGCTGACTCTGACCCTTCCTGACCCTCTGGCCGGGCTCCTGTTGGCACAGCAGGGACAGGCCTGGCACCCCACCCACACTGCCCACCCCTTTCCGAAACCCTTCCAGCCTCCAGGGCCCACGGCGACACCAGGGACACCGCATCCAGTGTCCGACCGCGGACAGGGTACCTTTTGTGGGACGGCCAAATGCCCGGCGGGCAGCGCTTCATGCTGAACATGTACACGGCGGCCTCGGCGGTGCTGAAGAGCCGGCAGAAGCACAGGAAGGAGCAGACGGCCACGGCCGACGCCGCTCTCCCGTCCTAGGAGAGGCACAGGCAGCTCCCTGGGGCCCAGCACCACCTCCCGGGGGCAGAGCACGTCCTCAACGTGCAGACACGCGTCCACACAGACGGGCGTCTTCGTGACGGCGCAAGACGCGGCGTCTCCAACGGGACACGCTTGCCTCACTGCCCCCATGTGCACCCCTCCCTGAGCCCTCCTGGTGTCACTCCGAGTGACTCTGCCCAGGACCAGGACAGCTGTGCCGGCCTTCGCGCCCACACTCGGCAGGTGCCGTGTGACGCCACACACCTCAGCCTCACTGCGCAGTGGGGTAGGGGTCCCCAGCTGCCGTCAGGAGGGACAGAGGTGGGTGCTGCGGCAGCGGCCTCGGGGCAGGGCAGTGGAGAGCCCTGGGGTGCTGCCTCGAGGGGAGACGAGAGAATGCACATGGGGCCACCGCACGCTGCACCTGTGCGGGCAGCTTCCCCAGCAGCAGCTAATGCCCAGGGGCCTGGAGGGGGGCCCTGCTGGGCACCCAGACGCTGCCAGGGGGCCTGCGCCAGCCCAGCGCCCCACAGTCCCTGGCTCAGGAAGGGGCAGGCTGCTGGTGCCCCACTCCCCACCCGGGCCACCACCCAGGACACTGCCCCATCTGACGCCCGGGGTTCATGACTGTCTTCCGTCCCCATAGCCCCGGAGCCCTCCTCTAACGCGGCGCACACTCACCGTGCAGTGCAGCACGCACACGTTCTTGTGGTCCTGCCGCAGCCACCAGTGCATGTCCCTGCAGATGCTGTACAGGCTGCGCAGGCTCGGGGCCCGCCGGGCCGCCCACCCGCACTCGGACACCTGCGGGACGGGCCCAGCTCAGCCTGACACCCTGCACCCCCGTCGGGGAGGCTCCCCTCACGAGCGCCGCCCGCTGGCACACTCCGCTACGACAGGATTTGTGCCAGGCAGACAGACCTGGCGATGGGAACCAGGGGCCAGCCTCCCGCCATGCTAGGGCCAGCCGTAAAAAGCACCTGTGACCCCAGGTTCAGGGACCATGAAAACCACGCGGCCTCAGGTCCCCACGGGAGGAGCAGCGAGGCCCGAGGCTCGCTGGTCTCTGCACCCCCCACCCGACTCTCTTCGGTGTCCGTGAGATGACCCTAGGCTGTCACCACAGCGAAGACCAGCCCTGGCATCACAGCGAGACCCTGCAGAGCCCGCTGCACGCGCTGCGCTGCCTGGGAAGTCAGCAGGCCCGTGAGGCCCGCAGGGCGCAGGCAGGGGAGGCGGGGGCACTCACGCGGTTGTGAAACTTGGCGGGCCGGTACGTCCTGGAGGACAGGTTGTAGACAGCGTAGTGTCCCGGGTGCTTGGAGTCCAGAAACAAGCGCACGTCCTCGATGTTGTTTTTGATGGCGGATTCCACACCCTCTGCCGGGAAGGACATCACTGGAAGGAAATAGCCAGTCAGCCCGGGGCACCGGGGCGACCGCGCTCAGGCCCCGACCCGCCTCCAGCCTCCCCCTCCCGGCTCCCGGCTGGTGCGTCAAACGCAGTGCTGAGCTGCAGCCCGCCTGCCATCCACAGGAGCCCCTCGGGACCTCCCACGGTGCACCTGGGCGGTAGGTCCTGCTGAGACCCCACGCACAGCAGGGTCTCCAAGCGTCCGATCTCGTCTTTGGTTTGATTTGGCCTGGAGACCCGCGTTTCAACTGTGCGTGGCCTCGCTCATTCCTCTGCTGCAGAGCCCAGAAAGTCCACCCGGGGAGAAGCTGCTGCACACGCACTGTCCACTGCGGGCCCGGAGGTGCCCTGACACCGGGCCCTTCCCCGCCACCGGCCCTTCACGCCCAGGCTGCAGCGGGCTGAGTGGGAGGCCCGCGTCCCCTGCCATCGCAGCCCCATGGTGAGAGCGGCCAACGCACCTGCGATTCGGGAGGTGATGTAGGAAATGTCCAGGTCTCCCTTCGCGTAACTGGAACCCAAAGAACACGTGGTTAGGACAGGGACCTTCCAGGGAAATGACGACAGCTGAGAGAGAGCGAGCCCTGGAGCGGCCCTGGGTGAGCCTGTGTGTGTGCTCACGTGGATGGATGTGGGTCACTGCGTGTGAGCGCAGGCATGTGTGTGTGAGAGGCGGGGGAGAGGCAGGAACCCACACAGGCTGTGACTCAGGGCTTGCTCCCCCGGGAGGTGGGCCGGGGAGCTGGCCGTGACAAGAGGCAGCAAACATGGGCGACCAAGCCTCTGACCCACCAAGGAAAACCACAGGGCACCCCAAAGGCCAAGGCCAGTCTGAAGGGACACAGCCAGCATCAGCGTCAGACCTGGGGGGGTGCCGGCACGACAGCCAGGAGCCTAGAGCCGCGGTGACCAATGAGCTAATGGGCAAGGCAGACAGCAAGCACAGAGACAGTGTGGGCGGAGGGGAAGCCCTAGGAAGAGCCGCCCGCCCAGGAGGGGCGAGAGACAGCGCTGCGGAGCACGAGGACAGCGCTGGGCTCCCTGGCCGGGCCCGGCTCAGCAAGCGTCTCCGAGCCACAGGACCCTCCACGTCAGAAAAGCCAGGGGAACAAAGACGGCAAACGCCAGACGGGGCTCCCAGGCTGTGGGACCACAGGAGGCCTGGCACTCGCAGCAGGGGACACGAGAAGGAACAGAAATATCTGAGACGATGACGACGGAGAATTTCCCCAAATTCACGTCAGACACCAAACCACGAATCCAGGAAACTCGGAGAACCCCCACCGGGATAAACGCCCGGAAACGTGCCTGGGCACAGGGTGCCGCCTGCAGCAATGCGAGGTGAGAGGTCCCGAGAGAAGCCGGGGGGCACATGCCTCATCTACTGAACAGGACAAGGACACAGACCTTTCTCCTCAGAACCCGCCTGCGCAAGGAGAGCGGAGAAACTAGAGCTGGAAGGAAAGCACACCAGCTGTGCCGGGAAGCCAGCCTCCAAACAGTAACATTCTTTTCTCAAAGACTGAAGGAGCTTGTTGCCGGCAGTTCTGTTTTGCAAGAAATGTTGTGAAGTTTTCTAGAGAGAAAGGAAATCACATGGGCCAGGAGCTCAGAGCCACATGAACAGAAGAGCATCAAAAAGGAGTAGGTGAAGGCAGAGCGAATACCTTTGTTTTTGTTAATCTTAACTAATAAGTGAGTCTGTTCAAAATATTAGTGGCAACAGAGTGTCTGTGTGCTCAGCACCCACTGTGTGCGTGTGCGTGTGTATGTGCGTGGACCGTGTGCTTCCACGTCAGCGACGAATGCCATGACGACGGGGGAGGGGTCACTGGCATCGAGCCTCCAAGCCCCTCGGCCGCAGCTGCTGGGGGGACTGTGTTAGCTCTGAGTGCACGCCGCCCCCACAGAGCAACCACAAGAAGGTAAACAAGTGCAACACATGCCAAGAAGGGCGAGCGTGGAACCAAATAAAATACTCAGTTCACACCACAAAAGGCAGAAGAAGAGTGAAGATAAAGACCGGGACAAAGAACAGAGCGGTGAGGGGGAAGCAGCAACAGATGGGGCAGATGCTGGCACGCAGCTCCACCCATCTCCGAGCCGGCGGTCTCCACGCCCGGTGACAGGCAGAGACCCCGCACCACCCATCTCCGAGCCGGCGGTCTCCACGCCCGGTGACAGGCAGAGACCCCGCACCACCCATCTCCGAGCCGGCGGTCTCCACGCCCGGTGACAGGCAGAGACCCTGCACCACCCATCTCCGAGCCGGCGGTCTCCACGCCCGGTGACAGGCAGAGACCCCGCACCACCCATCTCCGAGCCGGCGGTCTCCACGCCCGGTGACAGGCAGAGACCCTGCACCACCCATCTCCGAGCACCACGGTCCCCACGCCCAGTGACAGGCAGAGACCCCGCACCACCCATCTCCGAGCCGGCGGTCTCCACGCCCGGTGACAGGCAGAGACCCCGCACCAACCATCTCCGAGCACCAGTGGTCATCAGCACAGCAACAGCGCGGACGCCTTCTCGAGGTTACTCCTCTGTACGCTATATAGTTTGAACATACTGTCTTTTTGTTATTTTAAGGAAATGTGGTAATTTGAGGAATAGAGAATTTTTAAGTTAGTGAAATTTATTAATCATTTCCTCCATCGGTTGTGTATTTTTTTAAAAATATATTTTATTGATTTTTTACAGAGAGGAAGGAAGAGGGATAGTTAGAAACATCGATGAGAGAGAAACATCGATCAGCTGCCTCCTGCACACTCCCTACTGGGGATGTGCCCACAACCAAGGTACATGCTCTTGACCGGAATCGAACCTGGGACCCTTGAGTCCGCAGGCTGATGCTCTATCCACTGAGCCAAACCGGTTAGGGCGGCTTGTGTATTTTTTGTCTCATTTAGGAAACCTTCCAGTGTTATAAAAATAACCCTCTATAGTTTATTAATTTTTCCTTAAAAAACACATGCTTCTTAGAATTAATCGCTTAACTGGCCAGAATAATGTATTCGCTGCTGCTGGACAGGGATCCGACTTCCTCTCAGCAGGCGGGGCTGGCACCTGCGTTGACGGGGCCGGGGCTTCCTGGCAGACGGTTTCGTGGGTTCCCAGGCCTCAGCGCGCCATCTGTCAGTCTCAGCACTCAACTCACCACACTGACGCCCGAGAAAGCTCACGCGTGTAACAGGGATCATCCTCTGTTATTCTCATTTTTAAAAATACTCCTGGCAGTAATGGGTAACATGAATTTTAAGATCAAAATCTATGAAAACAGCCTGGCCAGTGTGGCTCAGCGGTTGAGTGTCAACCTATGAGCCAGGAGGTCACAGTTTGATTCCGGTCAGGGCACATGTCCAGTTGTGGGCTTGATCCCCAGTGTGGGGCGTGCAGGAGGCAGCAGATCCATGATTCTCTCTCATCATGGATGTTTCTCTCTCTCCCTCTCCCTTCCTCTCTGAAATAAATAAAAATATATTCTTAAAAAATCTATGAAAACAATTTTTATGACAATGAACTTATAACTTAATTGAAAAGTGATACCATCTTTAAAATTCTCCCAAATATAAGTTTCTCCAGTTACTTAGGTCTAATTTTATGGTTCTCACTGGACTCAGCCAGGCAGGGCAGGCTAGCAGGGAGGTGGTTCCCTGGCTTCAGGGGCACCTGGGAGGGAGGAAGGGCGCCCGCAGGCCTGGGGAGGCGTCCCTGCTGGAGCCCAGCGTCAGCACCACTGAGGCCATGTCCCAAGTCTGATCGTCAAACGAGTAAAACACAGAGCCAGGGAAGCACGCAGGCAGCCTGACAAGTTTGCTCTAGAATTCCTCTGCAGACACAGCTGAGCAGGAACATGACTCTCCTGGGAAGGACGGACGGACAGAGAGGCACGCACCACAGACAGCAGCAGCAGCAGCAGCAGCCGTGCCGAGGGCTGCGGGGACTTCAGGCCCGACGGGAGGGGGAAGCTCAGGGGATTGGGGGGGGGGGTGGGGGGACGGGGACAGTGCCCTGCTTGCCATCAGCGGACGAGAACCAATGAAAAGTCCCCAATAAGGTCCCCGTAGATTAAAGACCCGAATGTGCAAGGAAACCATCAAAAATGCATTTAGTTTAAACATTCTGAAACATGTATTTCAAAACACACCTAACCTTCCTACTCAGGAAAACAAACAAAAGACATAAAGGGAAATATGGATAGATTTGTGCTTTAATTAAAACCAAAAAGAAAAAGACAAGTAACTGACAAGGAAAAACGGCTATTCTGTCTTTTCACAAAGTGAAATATAAAAATCTAAGCCCGCGGCCGAGTCTGAGCGCTCTCACATCTACACTGGCAAGGCGCCGCGCCCACTGCACACGCACTCCACAGCCCAGGCCGGAGGTGGTGCCCCTCTTCTCCAGGGCCCGTGTGGCCGGCAGCGGGCCAGCACTTCTCCCCTACTCCCAAGTCCCTCACGGCGGGGCCCACCCCGATGGCCACGAGTGCAGGTTCTGCCAGGCTGGGAGGCAGGCAGCGCAAAAGGTCAGACCCCCCCCCCCGCCCCGCCCCCTCATGGAGAAGCCAGGAGCCACGCCCGGCCCTTGCACCCACGCAACCCTCGACTCACTTGGCGACGGACTGGATGACCTTGGAGGAGGTGTCCTTGAGGTTGGTGAGCAGGCGCCCAGGGCCCCCCCGCAGGATGTCCAGGAGCCCGCCGTAGGACTGCTCGTACTCAGCCACCGCCAGGCCTGCAAGCAGAGACCAGCTCAGGCCGGGGGGATAGGGCCGGGAGCCCCAGCATCCCCAGAACCTGAGGGCCGCACCCCGTGTCACCCCACCTGGGCACAGGAACTAAACCAGCAGCTGGCATCTCATCATGCCCTGCGCCCACAGCCCCCCGGCTGCTCTCACAAGGGCCGAGCCGGAACCTGGCCGGCGAGTCGAGCTCCCGGTGCCCACGGCCTCCATCCCGTCTCTAGACTGTGCACCCACTCACTCCTGCAACCTGGGCCCCGGGCCCCTGACACACGCACGCTGAGGGCCCGGCCAAAGCGAGCCTCCACCCCAGGTGGGAGGACACAGTGGACACGGAGGGCAAGGAGTGGGGTCGGGCATGTGGCCCCGGCCGAGCACAGAGAGGCCGTGGGGCTGGACAGCGGGTGCTGCTATCTGCCTGCAGCGTAGGGCCCGGGTGTGAACAGAGTGATGGCAAAGGGAGGCAGGTCCTGAAACCCTAGCACCCCGGAGGATGTGGTCCCCAAAGGCGGCTTGGGGGGGGGGGGGTTAGGTTGGGGTAAAAAGAGGAAGTCTTGGCCCGCACTCTGCATCTGTGCCCGAGGGTGTCTGTGGCCTCTGTGCAGCTTCTGAGACCAGCCAGCAGCGCTGGCACAGGTGGCTGGGGCGCAGCTGGGACCGGGCCCTGCGCTCCCGCTGTCAGGCAGCCACAGAAAGCAGCCCATACGTCCTACGTGTAGAACATTCTTGCTGGCCATTCACCAGGAAATGACCGGCACTCGTGTGTGTTGAGCATGTGTGGGCACGAGCGTGGTGTAAGCATGTACGAGCACATGCGTGCACGTGTGTGGTGTGGTCCTGGAGAAGACCCAGGGCAGTCGGGGCGGCCCCACATGCTGGACATCCAGAGAGGCGACCAGGACCCACACTGCCTGGTACACACTGCCGGGCAGGCATTCAAAAAAAATTTTTTTTAAATAGGCAATTTAGCCGAAACCGGTTTGGCTCAGTGGATAGAGCGTCGGGCTGCGGACTGAAGGGTCCCAGGTTCGATTCCGGTCAAGGGCATGTGCCTGGGTTGCGGGCACATCCCGGTGGGGGGTGTGCAGGAGGCAGCTGGTCGATGTTCCTCTTTCATCGATGTTTCTAGCTCTCTATCCCTCTCCCTTCCTCTCTGTAAGAAATCAATAAAATATATTTTTTAAAAAATAAATAAATAAATAAATAGGCAATTTATAATACTGGGAGAATGTCATTTTAGTGTTTCAGAAAATGCGTTATTCTTGGAAAGAGCTTGTGCTCTTACGACTCTGGGAAACAGAGGTTTTGTCCTAACTCTTGGAAGCTTCCTGGGAAGGACAGTCTAACACCTTGGATGAACATGGAAGTGCTCTGGAAGGGCTGTTAAAAACTCTCAAGAGCCAAAACCGGTTTGGCTCAGTGGATAGAGCGTCGGCCTGCGGACTGAAAGGTCCCGGGTTCGATTCCGGTCAAGGGCATGTACCTGGGTTGCGGGCACTTCCCCAGTAGGAGATGTGCAGGAGGCAGCTGATGGATGTTTCTCTCTCATCGATGTTTCTAATTCTATCCCTCTCCCTTCCTCTCTGTAAAAAATCAATAAAATATATTAAAAAAAAAAAAA